AGACATCAGAGGGGTCTTTAGCCACAGGGAAATTAACTTAGTGGACAATACAGGGAGGCCTCTAATGTATCTAATCAGGTGTATAATCATAACAGCCCTGTGAACTACCATCCTAACAAAAGTGGCTGAGAGAATTAGGAGGAATTAGTGGCAAGGACGTGACTCCAACTTTCTCCAAGCATGGGTCACCCAGTCACTTCATCTAACCATTTGGATTTTAGGGGCTTCTGCAAAATGAGAAAACAAATTGCACTTTAGACATTGGGCCTTGGCTTGTGAGTGCAAAGTGCCTGGCAGGCGGGCTCTGTGAGGCTGCGTGGTGATGACATGTTTTGAAAAGCCAGTCACCGAAGCACAGGCTCCTGACAGAGCCTCGAGTAACTAAACCCAAAACATCTTCAAGTTTGCTCATTTTCATCCCTAAAATGATTGCCTGTGCCTGGCTGCATCTCTTCAATTTTCTCTGAGCTGCTTTCCTGATTGGGGTGTGCTGCGAGGCATGAATGGCAGCTTATCTCGCCCTGAGTGTGGAATAAGCCCTTAGCAGTCCCTGGTGTTAAAGGGCTTGACTTATCTCCTGCGGTGGCAGAGCGCCCTGGCTGCCCGTACATCCTTGTCGCTGCTCTCTGTGCTGTGGCTCAGTACAGCTGTCAGACACCTCTAGTGTGAGAAGAGCACACTGATGGGCTGTCCCCTCCCAGGACATCCCAGGCCAGCGGGCATTTTCATTGTTAGCATGTTTTACTTAAAAAGCACATTCGAAAAAAGATCAGTTGCACCACAAAGACATTTCTTAAACGACAGGTGACGTACTCTCTTGTCACAGGTAAACGTCGCCCTGTTCCAGGCTGTGCTTGTGCTGTGGGAAGCTCCGCAAGCATAATCACCTCCATTGAAAGTGTGTCCTACTCACTGTTCCAAAGGACGCCCTCCTTGTCAGACGTTTGGAATTCGCGCACACCTCTCTCTCTAAACGTGACCTCTCTTTTCTCCGTTTTCTAAGCCGGCCAGGAAAACCATTCCTGTCTTTTCTCTCTCTGGTTGGAGCGGCACCAGATGTGAGGGCAAAAGGGGACACTCTCACAGGACTCCCCCAATGTTCACATTTTCTCTTTCATAAAAACCCTCCATCAATGAGTTTGATTTTTTGTGTAAAGAATGACGTAGACCATCGATATTCCAGTAAGTGATCCCCTGTTGTTTATTAAATGTTTGTAGTTTCCCCTTTGAACTTTGATACCACCTATTTTTTAACCAATTTTTCTTATTTGTGAATCTTCCCCCAGCTCTTTCTATCTTTCGATCTATCCCTATAATACGATGCTGTTATGAATGTCATTGACTTTTGATAGATCCTAATATTTGGTATGAGTTTCCCACTTAATTTTTTCCACATCTACACAGCTGTTAATTCTGTTCTTCAAGTTTCCCTCTCTTAGGAGTTTCAGGATGTGGACGGGTGGGTATCTGCAGAGACATTCAGCTCACCCAGAGTCCCCCAAGTCAACTAACACACACTGACAAGGACATCTCTCAATAAAATCTTTGCTAGGAAGAACAAGCATGGGACACCTATTTGGAAAACAATCTAGCATTGTATAAAATTGGGAATCTTACCTACTAGCCAATAACTCTGTTCCTATATTTAATTTTATGGAACGGAATCCAGGTCCCCACTCTCCAACACGACAAGTACTAGCTGAGTGCAGTTGTTGAAATGCCAACAGTTAAAATAAGATAAAATTAGAAAGCCAATTCTTCCGCCACTCTAGCTGTGGTCTTGAATCCAGTATCCAGGCATCTCGGGGACTATGGCGATGGACCGGGAGTTATAGCAGATGCACTCCTAGAGAGTCTCTTGAGCAGAAAAACAGAGATCATCCATGGCAGAACATGAAAAAGAGAGTTCCAATGTCCATTAACAGTGAACAATAAAACTTCATATTTATAAAACTGACAATTTAATACTGAAAATCAATGAATAACAGCCACATGTAGGCATCCAACGTGTGTGTGTGTGTGTGTGTGTGTGTGTGTGTGTGTGTGTGTGTGTAAAATATGCTGGAGGCAAAAGAAAAAGATATAAAAAACTGAAACATTTCAACTGATCAATGCTAAAATAGACAAACCCATCACATAGCTTGTTAAATGTTTTTATTATTACATGATGTTTGAGACATATCTCAAAGTCTTGATCATATCGGAGTAAGTAGCAAGAGCAATGTCATGATCTTGAATGTGATTCAAGGAAGAATGGGCTCTAAGAACCTAGAGCCATCTTCAAGGAGCTCCTAACTTCATTGACCTCATGTCAGTCAGGGGATATACATTGACTGTGTTTTTTACTGACCACAACTCATGGGACAGCAGAAACCATAAGGATGTTGTCCAATGTCTAGTCTTGGATTGAACCATGAGTCCTCTGAGACTACAAAAAAGCTCAACCTTAGATCCTGCAGACTTGTAGAGTTGTGGAACTAAATGCAGAACATTTTGCACCAGCTTGAAAAGCATTATGTGTAATTGGTACTTTGTTTACCTAAAATGTCTACTACAATTCTTATATACTTGGCTCAGCAGGAGAGTGATATTCAGCCCATGATGAATGGAATATAACACACTACAAATGAGTGGGACCCAAAATTATAAGATCAGTCCAAAATAATAGACTATGTCAAGAAAATAAATCAAGATAGTAAAAGATATATGGAGACATTCGGCTCCTTTGGGGTCAAATGAGAGTCACCGGGAAAAGATTTCTAGAGAAACTTAACTGATAAAGAGACCTTACAACAAAATGATAATGCATCACTGTTGCAGAAGATGGAGGCAATTAGCATTTCATTTCTGTGTGCATGCAGCCCTGCCTCTTCCTCATGCATGAAGCATGGGTATAGTGTATAAAGACCTTTACTAAGAATGTATTTCAAAATAGCCTAGGTAGTGGGATGCAACTGTGCCCATTTTCCTGGTGTATCTATTAACCAGCTAAAGACATAAATGTCGATGGCTTGCTTCTTTATCACCAAGTACATACACAGAAGCCAGTGAGATCTCTATGGTCCACTTTTCTCTCTGGGTTGTGATGAGCTCAAAATGGTGGGGTGTGTGTCTGTCCTCTGACCTCTGGAATTAGTGCATCCTGGGAATGGAGTGCAGCCACTTGTTCTGAGGTCCCACAAAAGTTGCATGTACATGCCTGCCATTCAGAATTTTGGAGTGTGTGCTGACATGTGTGTGTGTGTGTGAAGATAAGCAGGTGCTTGTCCTGATCAGCACATGATACAGGAGGCTTGCTGTCATGATGTCAGGAGCCTTGTGTTAAGATGCACCCTCGGTAGAGTGGGCTGTGGCTTTGGGACTCACTTGCTTGTGGGTCTGCTCAGGTGCAATCTATTTCCAATCTGCAGTCGCCATTCTGCTACATGAGCAGAAACATCGATCAAAACATTGGATTTGAATCAACTACCAGACCAGCGGACAGTGAGCATAAAGGAGATATGACTCTTCCTAAGCCAGCTCAAGAAGAAGGCTGTAAAAAATCTAGGAAGGAGGAGAAAGAATCAAAAGGTGACTAGAAACTTGGGGGACCAGTGAAAATGGCAGATGGGGATGCTGCAGCTAGCCTATTAGAAAGGGTGCAGAAAAACTTAACCAAAAACTACGACAGTATTCTAGCGCAGCAAAGGTTTAGGTGCCGTCCTCAGCACGCACCGGGGGCTGCCCGCAGAGTTGCACAGGGAACATACTGAGCAAGCAGAAGAGATTCCATTGTAGTTGTCCCTGCAGGAAATCACCCCTTGGAGCTGTCTACAGAGCCACTGAGCCAGCTCCATGCCTCCTACTGCCACCAATTAGTGTGGACTGTATGGTCAGCCTGGCTTGCTATTCCTGAAGTGGACATGCAGTCAATTATACCAGCCCCACCACCCCTTTACCGAGATGCTGGACATTTTTAACTGCTTAGTAATGCTGTTGGTGCAGATGCTGGAGCTTTGGACTTAGTCTTGGTGGTTAACTTGGCAGAGATTTTGGCTATGTAGATAACCAGTATCACAAACATAGAACTGAATCCACACCCAGCTACCTGCATTCTCACTGACTACCAAGTACAAGGCTGGGCTGGGGTTTAGTTGCTATTACTACCCATTCCTGGTCTCGTGGAATTTTGGTTACAAAGTTGGGCAGTTTCTATTCCATAGTAATGAGACTGCCTGGGCTTAACCTGGGGCTTCACAACTGCACAGTTCAGTGACTTCTGACCAGCTAGAGGACCGCAGGAGTCTACACACACGACAGGAATGAAAATGGGGTTATTAGACGAAGCACTTTAGATGCTTTCTGCAAAGCTCCTCACAACGCTACACTCCAAACCTCATCATAATCAGGTGTTGACTTTTCTCCAGCCTGCTCGCGAGTCCATAGGAAAATGTCCATGACTCGCGGTCTTTCCCGTTCCTAAAAGCAAGTGCTTCCAAGTTGGTTTCTGAGTCATGTATATCTACTTAACTTGAAGCGATTGGATATTTAGTCCATCTTTGGACATGTAAGCCCCATCATTTGAGTCGATACGCACTGCCGCTAATGTGCATTCTGTTGATTCTTAATATCTGCCATACACACGTGCAGAACTGAATCCCATAAGCCCAGAGTCCACACATTCCTACCAAAAGGAAGTCGGAGGAAGGAAAGAGCAGCAGGGCCTCTGAAAGAGAAAATTGTCTTATCCCTCACCCGTGTCAGAATGTAGGAGTGTTTACAAAATGCTCATTAAAAGAAAAAGGGGCTGCAAGATAAAAATGAAATCTGGTGTACAAGTTTACACTGGGCAGATAAGGAAAGGCTAGGCCCTATAGGGGATTTTGCTGTCCAATTACTGCAACCTGACTTTTGGCGGGGGGGGGGGGGGGGGGGGGGGGGGGGGGGGGGGAGGGGAAGAGAGAGGAAGAGTTTCCATACTTGTGTCGTGTCCAGTGACACAAGACATTTACACTCCGCAAGATAAAACTGCCACTTAGAGCCCAGGGGAGTTAAGCCTTGCTAGGTTGGCCTGGGGAGCTGAGCAGAGTCATGGGTTCTCTGGTCCTGCAGCTGAGCGCTGTCCTCTGCCTGGTGGCTCACTCCGTTTCTGGCAGCCCCATCATGGGCCTTGAGCAGTCACCCCTGGAAGAAGACATGCCTTTCTTCGATGATCTCTTCACAGAGCAAGACGGTATTGACTTTAACACACTGCTGCAGAGCATGAAGGACGAATTTCTCAAGACACTGAACCTGTCGGACATTCCCCTGCAGGACACGGCCAGAGTGGATCCGCCAGAGTACATGCTGGAACTCTACAACAAATTCGCCACTGACCGGACCTCCATGCCGTCAGCCAACATCATCCGGAGCTTCAAGAATGAAGGTAGGCTGGCTTGCGTTTTCACCTATGAGACTATGGCTTTGCTTTTTCTCAGGAAGAAATAAGTAAACTTCCATGGGGGATGATGTGGGAGAGGATGAATTCATGGGAATTCATGGCTCAGACACAGTGCATCAGCTGACCCTCACGGTCCACCTAGAACTCCAGAAATGCTATAAAATATCTACTTAGGAAAACCCACAGAATGCCCATCATTCTGGCATCATAATGGGTTCTTGATAGAGTTTTAATCTGGACATCAGGTATCAAGGTAACATAAATGTTGATCTGTTGCTCTATCTTGTCAGTCACTTTCTAGACAGGACTTGATTTTCTATCTGGGGTTGATAAAAATTTGTCAACTTTTCCTGAGATCAAAAATGGTGAAAACAACGAAAAGGAATTAGAAATTTGAAATTTGTGGTTCATTCAAACTCTGGGTGATTTCCAATTGTGACATCATTTAAGCAATGTCCTGATAGAAAGGGGCTGTATTTGGGAGATTCTTCTAATGCCTTGTTGTGTTTAATGAGCCATAATAAGACCCCCAGGAAGTGTACAGGACCCAGCTAACAGTCCAGCTTATTGTGACTGTGTCTTCATGAAGAGCGATATACAAATTTCAAATTGTTATTCGGTCCCCTCAGATCTTTAAATGAGTCAGCGAGCCAATCCTATGTTTAAATGGCACTAGTAGGGAAAAAAAACATGAAATTATGGTACAGACTGTGGATACAGAGAAACTGGGTCTTTATTATTTACCAATTGTGCTTTTATAGACACTGGGCTCCTAAAAACGAGGTCTGATCAATATTTGCCAGAAGCTCTCGGAAGCAGAAGGCAGGCTCACATGCAGCGCAGGACTGCTGAGAGCTAGCTGCCTTGGGGAGTTGTGACTAACTAGTCTAGGAGATGGGAGCCCCACCTTCCTCCTGTAACACAGAAGCTGCATGGCTTCTGAACAGATGAGCGACTCGCAGGCAGCAAGAGGTAAGAGAGGACTCGTCATTAGGAAGTGCTGGACAAGCCATGATGACTCTTAATGAATTACTTAATCTTGGCTCTGGAGTAAACACTGAGTGGGTATTCCCCAGACACCAAGATAGCATTTGCTCTTAAAATTCAACTCATCACCACCATTTCTATTTAGTAACATATTTCTGGTGGAAACTGCAAGCTGAGATTCCAGGTTCCTTTGGAGGCAAGTCTAGGAGGAAAAGAGCAACCACCTGAAGGAGCCTGCCTCAGCTTTCTTCTCTGAGCCATGATCTAGCTCAGGCATGGTGGGAATGCAGTCTAACTCAGGCACAGGGGGAATACGGTCTAGCTCAGGCACAGGGGGAATGCAGTCTAACTCAGGCACAGGGGGAATACAGTCTAGCTCAGGCACAGGGGGAATGTGGTCTAACTTAGGCACAGGGGGAATACAGTCTAACTCAGACACAGGGAGAATGCAGTCTAGCTCAGGCACAGGGGGAATGGGGTCTAGCTCAGGCACAGGGGGAATGGAGTCTAGCTCAGGCACAGGGGGAATGGGATCTAGCTCAGGCACAGGGGGAGTAGGGTCTAGCTCAGGCACAGGGGGAATACAGTCTAGCTCAGACACAGGGGGAATACAGTCTAGCTCAGACACAGGGAGAATGCATTCTAGCACAGACACAGGGGGAATACAGTCTAGCTCAGGCACAGGGGGAATGTGGTCTAGCTCAGGCACAGGGGGAATGTGGTCTAGCTCAGGCACAGGAGGAATGTGGTTGGTCTAGCTGAAGCTTGATGGGAATGCATTATTCCACTTTTATTTCTTGCTTCTCTCATGGAAGAGCAGGTGATAAAGGGGAGGATGTGAGCAAGCTTACCATTACTGGAGATCCATGGGGAGGATCAGACTTGGGGACACCCAACCATCCACCCCTTGCACCTCTGTCAGCCTAGAAGAAGACTGGTACAGCAGAAGACAGGTGTCCCTTCACCAGGCTCTCCCTGCTGGCTGCTGTCATCCATCTACACACCTTTTGTGTTTGCTGAATGACATGCCCTGGGAGGTAAAGACCAAGAAAGATTCCAAATCTAGGTCATCTTTGAACTAGTGTCACGTGCAAGATGGAAAATGTGGCTTCAGTTCTTAGCTTGGCTTCATCCTCCATATTGTCTAGGAAGTCAGATCTATACATGGTGGTTTGATTTCTTCTGGTGCAAAACTAGTGTTGGATCCATGTGTGCATTGTGGGTGCCACGATTTGCAGAGTAACTGGCATGTGGAATCTGTCAGGGACTTAGTTCTCTTGCTCTGAAATGTGACTCTTCCTGCAAAAAATTGTGGGTGGTTTTATTTAGTTAAGCGTTGGTTGTGTGTGTGTGTGTGTGTGTGTGTGTGTGTGTGTGTGTGTGTGTGTGTGTGTATGCGCATTGTTTTGTCTTGTTTTAAGCTGGCCTTGAACTCACCAGTAGCCCAGGCTGGCCTTGAAATAATCATATTCAAATTTTAAAAATTGTGAACTATTGCGTTCTTTTGAGACAGTATTTTACTATGTAGCCCAGGTTGGCTCTCGATCCTCCTATCTCAACCCCTTGAATGTGAGTTTATTTTTGCAAAGCACATCTTCATTGAAGTATAGTTAATATATAGGAATCTGCATGTATTTAAGGTGTATAACGTAAGTGTTTACATTTGTAAACATCCACTGAAGTCCCTGCCAAGATGTCAAGACAGTGAGCATGAACATCCCCCGAAGCTTCCTCCATTCCAGAGCACATTTTCTTTGTACTTCTCTCAGGAGGGACAAGGACCCTGCTCTCCCATTTTTGGTCTTCTGTGACAGCAAGTGCACAGGTGACTCCTAGTGGGATAAACTTTCAGAGAGAGACCTGAAGGCACCAAGGCCTCAAGAGGGAGGCCAGAGATGGAGCCGTGGCAGTGAGGCAAGAGGCCTTTCTTGCTAAGAGTCAGAAGAACATCCTCAAAGGTACAGAGGGCTGTAGTTCTCGTTTTTTGGTTTATTTTTCAAATAGGATGAAATAGTCATTCCATTGGTCAGTAAATATCCATTGAGCAACTGCAGCATTCTGTGTACTGAGGAGAACGGACAGGAGCCAAGGCTTGATCAGGATGTTAAGCCCTGGTTACAGTTGCTCTGGCCACACCAGTGACTTCAGGGCCATCCCATAAGTCAGTGTCCCCACTGTCACTGTGAAGAAATTTTTAGTTAGCACCCAGAGGAAGCTGTGAAACATGTGAAATATCTATGTGCTTTATTTGTGTAAATTTAAAAAGCTCACACAACTATCAGCTTAAGGGCAAACCTTTAAGCCTTTTGAGAGTAAGTATAAAGCCATCAGCTAAGGAAGGATGCTGAGTATAATGTGGATCAGAGAATGCACTGAGATCATGAGCTAGGTATGCAGTTGGGGAAAGGTTGCCAAGGACAATAGAGGACCCTCGGTTGCAGGTCCCTGGTATCTTGATGTCACAGTCCTTGGATACTCTGGTGTCAAATGCCTCAGTCCTTGTAGAGACAAGCTACCTGAGGTAAGTACACAGGAGCTCTGGGTTCTCTGAAAAATTCTCACATTAAAAGATAATATCAGGCATGGTATGGTAACACATGCTTGCGAAGTGTCACAGGAAACAAAGTTCGAGACCAGTCTGCTGTACACATGGTTTACAGGCCAGCGACCTGGTTAAAAAAAAAATTAGTATGAAAGCATTTGGAGACATGCTTCTGGTACTAAAGGACCTTTAACGAGCTATTTCATATAGCTCTTGGGTGGTGTGTGTGTGTGTGTGTCCAACTCCATGCTGGCTGTTAGTGAATACCAGTAAGGCAATCCATCTACCCCTGAGACACATCTTCTCTCACTCACTCAGGGAGGACTACTCACTCCAGACCAGTTTGACAAGACCTTGCTCAACTTTGTCACATTGGGACGGGGTCAGCAAACTTCCTCTGTAAAGGCCAGATAGTCCATAGCTAACTCCGCCTCTGCAGGGCAAAATTAGCCGGAGATGGTACAGCAATACCCAAGCAGGGCTGTGCTCTGGTGAAACTTTATTTTCAACAGCATGTTAAACCCCAGTTTGGCCTGTGGGTTTAACGACCCCTGGTTTATGGAGATCTTCCATGAAGACCAGTGGCCAACCAACCATATGGAGATCACCACCCATTACAAACAAGCTTTGAAGTCTTTAGTCATGAGCTAGTTCAAAACAATCTCCACGATCCGTTTCATGGCTCATTACTGGTTGTTTGGACAGAGGGCTTGTCTGCAGCTCCTAGATTCCTTCCAGTTCTGTCCCCGTGAGACAGCTCAGGGTGGGCAAGGTTTCTTTCATCTTACTACAGAAATAAGTACCTGCTTTATTATGCAACATGCTTAGCAAGTCTGTTTTCTCATAAATATCTTCCTTTTTTTAGATCTGTTTTCTCAACCCGTCAGTTTTAATGGGCTCCGGAAATACCCTCTCCTCTTCAATGTGTCCATCCCTCACCATGAAGAGGTCATCATGGCTGAACTCAGGTTGTACACACTGGTGCAAAGAGATCGTATGATGTATGACGGTGTGGACCGTAAGATTACCATTTTTGAAGTGCTAGAGAGTGTCGAGGGCGCCGAGGACGAAAGGAGCATGCTGGTCTTAGTGTCAACAGAGATCTATGGAACCAACAGTGAGTGGGAGACATTTGATGTCACGGATGCCACCAGGCGTTGGCAGAAGTCAGGCCCAGCGACACATCAGCTAGAGATCCACATCGAGAGCACACAGAACCAAGCTGAGGACACCGGAAGGGGGCAACTGGAGATAGACATCAGTGCCCAGAATAAGCACGACCCTCTGCTTGTCGTGTTCTCTGATGACCAAAGCAATGACAAGGAGCAGAAAGAGGAACTCAACGAAATGATCACTCATGAGCAGGATCTGGACCTGGACACCAACGGTTTTTCCAGTGGGCCTGACGAAGAGGCCTTGTTGCAGATGAGGTCTAACATGATCGACGACTCTACCGCTCGAATCAGAAGGAACGCCAAGGGCAACTACTGCAAGAAGACCCCACTCTACATCGACTTCAAGGAGATTGGCTGGGACTCCTGGATCATCGCGCCACCTGGGTACGAAGCCTATGAATGCCGCGGTGTCTGCAACTACCCTCTGGCAGAGCACCTCACACCCACAAAACATGCTATTATTCAGGCCTTAGTCCATCTCAAGAATTCCCAGAAAGCTTCCAAAGCCTGCTGTGTGCCCACGAAGCTGGATCCCATCTCCATCCTCTATTTAGATAAAGGTGTTGTTACCTACAAGTTTAAATATGAAGGAATGGCCGTGTCTGAATGTGGCTGCAGATAGGAGAGGAGTCCCATGGCTTATTTAATAACTGCAAATGTGTATATTTTGTGTTCTATTTAATGAGACTATTTAATGAAGGTGTACAGACAATAGAGGTTGCCATCTTAGGGAAGTGGACAGGTCACATGTGCTGTAGAAAATGTGTATTTTGCTATACAATCCGGTCCCTTCCACTCATCTTGTTTGGACTCTCATTTCCCAGTGATACATCTCTAACAACAAAATGCAGGCCTGTACCACTTATCCTCTGTGTCAGCTTGGAAAGAGCAGCCCCTAAAGGGAAAGAGTGTCAACACACAGATATTTGTGCATGTTTGTGCAAGTGCACATGAACTTATAAAATTCTTTTTGTCCAAAAGAGGCAGACTATGCTCATACATGTGAGTGGCTTCCTCCAGAGTGTCTGTATTATAGGATTTGGAATTTAGGGTGAGAAAGTTCATATCGGGAGTTTAACCACCTAGAGAAGCATATTTTCCAGATCTTCTGGGAATGTGAATGTAGTTCTTTTCAGTTGTATCTGCCATGTCTCAGAGCAGCAGGCTCGATGAGCAGGCTGCTGACTCAAGAGGTGGGTGGGGTTGTCAGATACACGAAACAAATGGCCTTGACAGGCAAGAGATGCACTTGCAAAGACCAGGCCCCTGGGCCATGTACTCCGGAGGACAGTTGCCTGGTCAAGAAAGATGCGGGTGGGGGCCTTCAGGACTGACTCCCCCTCAGTTCACAGGAGGCAAGGCCACAAGTGCCGGCCTTTTCTGCTGTCGAGGGCCATGGAGGTGGTGGAGGGGGAGAGGAGGAAGGGCGCAGGTGGTGTCCTCAGGTGTGATGGTAAAAATCGCCACCATTCTAATGGGATAATTAAATCTTTTTGGACAAAATAAAGTGATCCAAGACTAAGAGGACTATCAGAATAGAGCTATTTGATGGACTCTACTGAAAACAGTCTTCATTTTATGACCCCCCAATCTTTCATCTTCTCTTATTTACCTTTCTGCCCATCATGCCTCTGGTTTGGTTGTCTTTCTTTCCCGTTCTTTACCCATGACATGAGCTGGGAGGAGGCACCTGAAAGCATTTTCACTCAGTGTGAAATCAGTTAGTGGTTTGACTTGTAGACTTATTCTGGAAATGGAACTTGATTTGATTTTAGCTATATCCTTTACTCTATGTTTTTCATGAGGAATACAGAATAGAAGACTAGAGTCCAGGTGAATACATTCAAACCCATGAATTAGTAGATGCTTGAGCTGGCGACTCAAATGTTGAGCTTAAACTTTGAAATCAGCCTTGATCTTGGAAGGGACCCTATAGCATGCCCATTCTCCCCACTCCCCTCTCCTTCCAGTTGGAAATTATTCTCCATCATCAGGTGGGTTATAAGGACACTGAGACCCTAGCCTTACAGCTTCCTATTAGGGTTCTAGACTCTGTACAGGAGGATCTAGAGCAGGCAGGTCCTAAGTCACCCCAGCATCAGCAGACAGGTGACACAGTGATTCACATGAGAAGCAGGAATGTGGCTTCCAGTACATTGCCCAAACCCTACCCTCTTGGTACTATATATTAATTTGGGGCTAGCTATCAGCTTCCTTTCCATAAACTTCTTAGGGTTATACATTCAGATTGTTCTGTCAAGGAAAGACATTTTCTGAATTTGAACTTCAACTCCAAATAGCCAGTTGGTCAAAATGGAAATCTCAGAGAAGTTGTTGCCCTAGAAGAGGAATATTTTGACTATAAGTGGGAACACGGTGAGGGACATTGTCTTGGCTGAGATGGAGATTCAACTCTTTATAACACCATGTGTTTGAGCACATGCATAAATCTGTGTAGATATAGCTGCCATTGGATAGCCACAGCAGCATCCCCCGAGGAAATGGTACAGCCTTCATAATCTATGGTACACCACACATACTCATACTCCATGGTACTGCTGGTCCTTCTTTCTCAAGGACACTATCATAGACATATAACAAACTCTCAGCTTGGCAGGAATAGTTTCTTCTAAATTCTAGTCATGGCTCCACAACCAGCCCAGGGCAGAGAGCAGCCCAGCTTTGTAATTTCAATAGTTTAGATGTGTCGTGTGATGCCGAATGACTTGCAAACTCCAGGGAAACATGACAGCCAGATCTGTGGAACTGCATGCTCTCTGGCTCAGAACACCACTGACATTGACATCTGATACTGGAGGGGTCAGCTCTTGTACCCCACCGTGCCCGCGGCTGCTGGCCCAGCCAGCTCTTGGAGAGACTTTGCTGAGCTCTGGAAGGGAGGTGACCGTTGAGGCTGTCTACATATCCCACACACTGCTCCATTTCCTACGGTGCAAACGTAAGCTGCATTTTTCATGATGGTCTTCTTGTACAAAGGTGTGCAGATAGTCACGTATTGGATATTCAAGCGTTGCTGTTTTCATGATTGTTGTGAATTTTGCTGCCTTATCAAAAAGTGAAATGACAAAAGCCATAAATAGACGCATTCTTCTCCCTTCTCCCAGCCACTGCCTGCAGCCTGTTTCCTTCGCTGTCTTAACCTGAAGCCACAGAATGGGTAGATAAAACTTAGTGATGCATTTCTGTGATGACAAATTTTCCACTGCGGCCAGCCCATACCAATCTTGCTTTATTTTTATTTCTTATGCTTTGATGGCAAAAGCTGATAAACCTAACAACTCTTGAGGGAAACTCTAGCAGGGGACTGGACAGCTCACCACCAGCATGGTTATGTAAAAGTTTCTAGGCTTCTTACTATTTATTGATTAATCTATTTATTTTTGTAATATAGTGTAGAATATTAAATATTTTATTTTTATGTGTGTGACTCCCTCTTGAATAGAATAGCCTTCTCTGCAGTCCATAGTGCACCCTTCCCAGGAGTGTAGCTTGACTGGATTGTACACATATATGTCTGCCTCTGCTTTTTACATCAAACTGGTATTTAAGGGATCCGGCCATGGCTTTGTGTGTTTGTGTCTTGTGGGCAAACTGTGAGCCCTTCCCTGTATCTGCTGACTTGTAAATAGCGGAGTTGAAACTGAAACACAGATGTTTCTGAACGTGTTTGGTCAATAAATGATATGCCACCCCCTAAGTCAACCTGGTCACTTCATCATGAGAGAGAAACATGGTCAGCCATAAGTGAATGATTACTACTCCGTTAATGGAAGTGGCATTTAATTGAACCTCCCCCCAAATGGGGCCTTTTTTTTTTTCTGAAAATATCCATTGCCTCCCTGATCTGCCAACTTAGACACACAATTGTACCAAAAAAAAGTCAAGGATATTAATGTAGCGATTCCTCAGAAGTTGATCTTCCAGCACCCTGCCCTTTTCTAGTGTGAAACTGTTAGTCTGGGAATTTAATGATGAAATACTTTTAAAAATGATTACTAGGGTTTTATCATCTTTTTTATAATTTATATTCTTTCAGTGACAGATATGTTCATATGAAGGAATTTACATCTCGATTTTTACCAAATTTATAAAGTGTAGCAGTGTTTAGGCAAAATATTTTGTTATTTATTTGCGGTGCTGTGTAGATCCACTTCGGAGTGAGCCCCACTCCGGCCCCCTTAACTCTCCGCAGTTCTGTAAGTCCATGTGCGGTGGGAAAGGAACATGGATTTTCTGTGTGTATTTTTGATTTCAGAGGGAGAGCTAACCCTGTACCACGCCAGCACAAAAAGGATGTTTCCACACACGGAAACAACCCACGGAGAATGATCATTCGTGGTAATCAGTTCATTTCTGTCACACGTGCGCACTGGTGTTTGTGAGCTACTGGCCGAAATGCGGCGTGGGGATTGACAGGCTCCGAGGCATCCAGGAAATTAGTTGATACCTGGACACGCCGAATCAGCTAAGCACAGTCATTTCTTCGGAAAAGCAAGTTCATCATTCTTGTCCAGATCTACTGCAAGTTAAACCAAATGGAAGATGGAGATAAATATTTCACACTCTGTTCATTAAACAAATGTGTACATCAGAGCCATCTTGTTAAATAAAGTGGAAAAATTATTTTGACAATACTCTTTGGCAGTTTATTTTTTTAAAAATTTGATCTCTCCCTCTTTTCTACACTCCTCTTTTTATGTTTCCACATAGCAGTATATCCAGATGTAACAGAACTTCTTGCTTAATTAGTAGAAAATGGTTGGAAGAGACAATAAGCTGCCCCGAGCTTCTGCTTTTCAACAGTCTTCTCATCCTATATGATTCTTGTAAACTCCAGGAATACTAGCAACAGATGAGGAAAATGAACTGGCCCCTCTTTGCTAGTATCTGGAAAGTGATTCTTTGAATCCTGATTGTATTATATCAAAGAGCAATTAATTTGCAAAATATTCAGGTTAAATTTGATTGACCTTTCATTACTGAATGTCACATGATCTCAAATTTAAAAGGGGATCTTTAAAGCTACTCTCTAGATAGACCTCAAAATACACCTGTATTCTCTGCAAATATTAGTTATAAGACAGGGGTGTCCTGCCTTCCTAGGGGACTCTACTGCTGTTCTGTGCTCAGTTTAACACATACTTTGGGTCACTATGTGTGAAAGTCTCTAGAGAAGCACAAAGGATCTTTAGGGTCCCAGGAAATACCCAGCGAGTATCTGAGTGTGTGAGATGTGCGGCTCCCTCCTCTGCATGGGAGTATGAGGAAGGAAGCATGGTGCATGATCTGGAAGGAAATTCATTCTCCAGGCAGCATGCAGGGCTTGAAGGGCAGGGAGACAGCCTATGGAAGAATGCAGTTCCTCCTGGAAGACCTTCTTCTGCCTCTCTCGAGTGGACCCGAGCATCCTGGCTGGCAGGATCCATCTGGCATGTGTGACAAGGGGCACAGCCCTTATCCTTGGATGAGCACTGACAAGGTGAGGCAGAGTTCAGTCCAGAGGGGAAGAGAGCAGAGCCCTTCTCAAGGACTTGGGTCCAGCCAGGACTAAAGGGGATAGGGAAGCCATTCTCATGACAAGGCTTTGAATTCTTTAGCAGCCTATCCATTCTTCTGTAAATAATTCCATTTATAGATGCTGCTAATGGTGTGGGGCCTGGAGCTTTTCTCCACATGTGGTCTGACCTGGGCAAGGCCGCTCTGATTGGCTACTTAATTCTGGATGTCTTTTTTTTTTTTTTTTTTTTTTTAAACTGAGGCAACTGGGATGCACTGGGCAGAACAGAGGGGCACATAATTTTAGGAGGTAGCTTATAACAAAGTGTGAGAAAACTATATTCAGAGCTCATATAAATACATATGTATATACATATATATTTAATACTGTGCTAAAATTCTAAGAATGAACTTGTGTGAACTGATCTTTCTGGTGTTGAGAGAATAAGATGTGAGACCCCAGCATGTGACTCTGTCACATGGACAAGAGCCCACGTGACTCTGTCACATGGACAAGAGCCCACTTTTGCACAGAAGTGTCTCTCTGTAAATAAGGGGGATATTTGGAGGCGAGAGCTTGTTAACTTGGCAGTTATAAATGGATTATGGGATTATCGCAGACTCTCTCCCCACAACCGTCAGCATAAAGAAATGGCTCCTGCCTTCTCTGCTCTTCCTCAGTCTGTCCCCACGGACCTCAAGTGTCTATCTCATCCACCCTGAGAAAGCTGGGAAATGCATGGCTACACAATCCATTTTTACTTTGAAATTAGATTCTTAGAGTTTGATTCTTAGAGTTCAGCCCACTTAGCTGAAGTTAAGATTTTCTGATAAGAGGTTGTCACACCAAGACTTGGCAGAGAATTTCACAGCAGAATGCCCGATGATTTCCTTGATGGCCCGGGAATGTTTTCAGCAAGTCTAACTTCTAATTGTATTGGTGCCTAAATGTATAGCAGCCTGATTAATTATGAGGAAATTTTAGAGGACCCATGTGAAGACCATTCTGCAAAACAGGCAGTTCTGTTGAAAGACAAAAGTAAAAAGAAAAAGGCAAACCGAGACTGAGGAACCGTGAGAGGTTAAAAGAGATTCAAGCGCTCTGGCAGCACCCCTGTGTGCTGTGGGAGTGGAACCGAGAACTTTCTGAAGGGGCAGAGAGGACATTTTGTTGTCCGTAGCTCTCTGCTACTTGGGGGCTTGTTGGACTTTATCAAATGACACCCTCTCAAATGGACGCTTATCTTTACAAATCTGTAAGGCGATTGCGCTTTCTCCGAAGTGGTGAGGGGCTGTGCAGGAGGCGGGACCAGGCTTCCTTTGTTTTCTGTGATGTGTACACGGGTCTCTGTATACACAGAGATGTGCATGGTGTATACACACGGGATCTCTGCCCTGTGGGCAAACTCAGCAGAAGGACGGGACAGGAGAAGTGCTCTTCAGTGTGGAAAACCTGATGTCTAAAAACGAACCACAAGACATTTTCCTGAAATAGCCAAGTTCAACCTTCTGTTCCCCGAAAGGAAGCATTGCTTTTCAGGCAAGAGACCATCTGTCCCAAGTGTTTAGAGAACACTCTCCAATGCCTGGGAATCTAAACTTCCTTACACCCGGTTCAATGTTTGATAAGGAAAGGGCGCTAACAGGATGGGAACTGAGTTACTATATTAAGAAATCCAGGCGGAACAGAAACCAGCCCCCGAAGTTATTTTGTTTATGCTCCATCTGTTTTAATTAACATAATATTTACATGAGACCGGCTTCTGTTATGTTTTTTGCTGCAACCGTCATATGTTTTCTTCTTTCCTTCTCTCTTTTTTGAAGTTTTTGCAAAAATACGATTGCAAAAGCATTGTGAGATTTGGACACGGACTCAAAGCAGAACACTTTAGCTGCCAGGGCCCTTTCTTGACGCACAGTGAGGTCAGATATTAGCTCCACAAGCTGGCTAGTGAAACTTCAACCTAAGATAAATAATACAATTTTACTATAAACATTTCTCAAATATTGTACAAGGCGTACTTATTCTAAAAGTTTTCAGTGTTTACCTCAAGTTCAGATTTAATTGCACATTTTTATTTGTGGAATCTGGCAGCCTGTACATGATGGCTCAGAAGGTTACAGGAATGGAAAGAGGTATGCCTGTGCATTCCTGAAGGGGCTGTTCAGAGGACCCACAACCAGGGCTCACGGCTGAAGAACGGCTTTGAGATTTGACCACAGAACCTGCTCAATCACAACACTACAAGACATAGGAATTCCTATTACCTTGTCAGGTCATTTCATATCATTGGTCCAAACCTCTGTGTCCTTAGTGAATTCTTTGGAAACTTGCAGACCCGTGACCTGAGGGCTGGTTGTTGACCCCTGCAATGTCCAGCCCAGATTCTTGTGTACTGATGTCCAAATCTTGCCTCTAGGAGTGTCTCATTATTGCTACCATTGCAGTGTGACAAAGCCACACCCAGGAAGCTCTTTAGATGATGACTATTTCTTCTGATCATAAATCAGATTCAGTTTTGAGGGGACCTCTCTGAGATGTCTTTGGTCTGATGGTGGCAGGGATATCATCAAGGCAAAGGCACCTGACAGAGATCCTTATAGGTCTTCATTTTCTCTCTATGTGTTCTCCCCACAAGGCCACCTTGGGGCAGCCAAAAAGGTCCCAGAGTGTATATTCTGCCTCAAAAGTACAGTGTCCCCTTTCAACATCCCTTTGGGCAATGTGAGTCACTAAGCCAATTCAGACCCAAGGGAGAGATGGCAACTCTGCCTCCTGCTGACAGGCATATTGACAAATTCTCAATGAATGCATCAGGCACACGGGTCATGTGTGAATTCCTTGCTATGACTGAGCTTAAAGAGTGACCTAAGGTCCCTCCATTTTCCCACCAGTCCAGGTCACAGACCTCTTCTGACCCCAGATTTCCCGGTTGGGGCTTCAACTTAAATCCTTCATGTGTCTTCTGTTTTCAAGCACAAGGGACACATGCCAGGACCTCTCCCTTGAAGAATCAACTCTCACTACCTTTGAACTGAGGGGCAGCTGCCCATCCCCCACTCAGCTCCGCTTTAACTGTCAGCTAAGTAAATTAAGATGCGTCAGCTGTGAATTAACAGTCACTAAAATCAACTTTTATAGAATATTTGTAGACGTGGAAAATATTTTCTAATAGCATAACAGTTTTCCTTAAGTCAAATCCTTTTTAGTTTTTAAATACTTGGTAACCCAATATATCTTAAAAGTACATTCAAGCCAGAGATATAGACCTTTTCAGCCCCCCTGCTTTTTGTATATTTGAAATCCATAGTTATCATTCCTCCTTTTGGAACTACACAACAACAACAACAACAATAATAATAAACACAACTCATCTGAAGTTACCTTACCAATCAGTAGAGGTATCCCCATTTTAACACTAGAATTCTCGGCATCTGATATGAGGACTCAGTGTCATGCAAACAGGATGTTTCAGTGAAATTTTGTCCTGACATCTTCTGGATACATTATTTTTTTGATGAGGCATACAACAAAGAACTCCAGATTCTACATACCGCATTTCGCATTTTCCCAAACTTTCATGAAGGTGCTTGAACAAATGCCAGGTATTAACAAATGAATCCAGCCAAATATTGTTCTGTTTTAAGTAGGAGCCACGTGGCGTACATGAATGCCACCTGCCTGAGGAGTTGCAAAGAGAAAAGCAAAGTGCCTCTGAGACAGCCCAGGGCGTGGTGTTGAAAACTCTGTGCAGAGGAAGCAAAGACTGAAGGCTGTGTGTCCCCCAGGACGTACAGTAACCAAGTCCCATGATCTGTCACCTTTGGTTTGTTGTGGCTCACCATGGCAACTTCTTATCTCTGAGAGATGTTTTTGGATCCAGAGCTGACACTTGAGGAAGTGGCTCTACTTGACTAGCTTGACAATTGGGACCAGCAATGGAGTAACGGATCTCTGTAGGGCAGATACGGTGGGTGCACTATAACCAGTGTTTCCAAGGCCATGAAGTGATACCAAAACAAGGCATAGATGGAAATCTGATTACTCCAAAGTCCCAACATTACCAATTAGATGAAATTAATCAGCCACCTACAGTTGCAGGTAATCTGCTACCTGCAGTCGACATGAATGCATCAAAATTCTCACTTTGGAGATTACACAGAATCTTAAAATTAGTGGTTGGAGGGTGGAGCTAGATGCCACCAGCTAACTCCTGCTCCCCAGTGATTCAGTCTGACACAAGGTCTGCTGTGGACTATTACTTTAACTAGGCAAAGATGTGTTGCATTTGGTTATACTGCATTTGTTTAATTACGTTACGATGTGCTGCTGTTTCACCTTGCCTGCCTACGGCATCTGGTTGGTCAAATAAAAAGCCGACTGGCCAATAGCTAGATGGTAGAGGGATAGGCAGGGCTGGCAGGCAGACAGAATAAGTAGGAAGAGAGAAGAGAATGAGAAAAGAGAAGAGAATGAGGGAGAAAGAGAGGGAGATGCCCAGGGCCAGCCAGCCAGGCAGCCACCAGCCAGGCAGACATGGAGTAAGACATACAGAATGAAAGAAAGGTAAAAAGCCCCAGGGCAAAATGTAGATGAAGAGAAATGGGTTAAATTAAGTTATAAAAACTAGTGGGACAAGCATAAGCTAAGGCCAAGCACTCCTAACTAATAAGTCTCCATGTCATGATTTGGGAGCTGGTCAGTGGCCCAAGAGAAAGCTGGCTACAGAGGTCCTCATGCCGAGCTGGACCCTTCTCCGCTGCTCTGAGACTGCACGGCTGTCTTCCTGCCATCAATTAAGCTCTTGCCTCTTCTTAGGCCATCAAAGGATCCAGGGCTCCATGGACTGTCAGAACGGGCAACCCCAGGAGCCAGGCAGACAGCAGAGGCGAGGAAGCCTGTGGCTGTGGGGCCTGGACAGCATGGGTGCATTGGCAACTCAGTCAATGCCAAGATCTAAAGTAGAAACAGAAGGTTTAAAAGTTGAGACTGTTCAATCGCATTCCAGAAAGTAGAACTCTGCAATGGACAAGAGAGCACATCTGAGAGCTGAGTTTGAATTTCAAGTCTTCCTTTCCATCCTGGTCTGGGGCAGGCCCTGGGAGAGCCCCTCCCTCCTGACTTACTACAGCTGTTCACACTCACCTCTTCGTTTTGATGCTATATATCAAACTGCATGGTTCCTTCTTTCTCCGGCTTTTAAACTATGATAAAGCACACTTGAATGAATTTGCTATGCTAATCATTTGTAGGTGTGCAGCCAAGGATGTTAAATACAATCATAATGAGAAACTATCCCCACTGTCCTCAATCACTTTACTTATCTAGTGAAACAGAGATTATAGACCCATTAGATGATATCTCTTCGGTTTCTGCTTCACCCCATCCCTGTAGGCCACCATTCTACTTCCTGACACTGAAGTTTAACTATTCTGATGTGTGTGTGTGTGCATAGGAGTGTGTGTGTGTGTGTGTGTGTGTGTGTGTGTGTGTGTGTGCTTGCATGTGGAGGCCAAAGATAGAGGTTGAGTGTCTCCCCTTGATTGTGCTCTACCTTTATTACTTGAGACAGGTCACTCACCGCACCAGAATATTATTAACTTGGATGAGCTGGCTTCTGGGATCTGCCTGCTTCCTCTCTTCTCCCTGAGTGCAGGGGTTACAGACATGTGGGGTGTGGGGATTCGAACTCAGAACCTCGTGCTTGCACAGCAGGGACTTTACTGATAGAACCATCTCTCCGACTCTGTTTAGACTGCACTAAGTGCTTCATATAAATGTAACCACACAGGGTTTCACATCTGGTAATGTCTTCAGAGTTCACCCATTTAGTCCCCCACATGTCAGAATTCAATCCTTTTCAAGGCTAAATAGCATTTATGTAGTTGTAAGTTTTCTCAGGTCCCACCTGGCCCTGCAGTCCTGCGTTCCTCTGGTTCCGCCCAGCCCCAGGGTTCCTCAGCTACTTATAAAATAATCATACAGAGGCTTAATATTAATTACCAATTGTATGGCCTATGGCAGGCTTCTTGCTAGCTAGCTCTTATAACTTAGCCCATTTGCAGTAATCTATAAGTCGCCACATGGCCGTAGCATCACCTGTCTGCTGGCATCTTGCTGCTTCTTCGGCAACAGCTGGCATCTCTTCTGCCTCTGCCTTTCTTCTCCTCTCCCTGTTTTGGATTTCTCACCTGCCTCTAAGCTGCCTTGCCATAGGACTAAACAGCTTTATATATAGTCAGTGGGAGCAACACATATTCACAGCATATAGAAAGACAACGCACAGCACATTTATATACTTCACTCTCTACCATCCATTCATCTCCTGTTGGGCACTTGGGTTACTTCCATATTTCAGTTGTTATAAGTCATGGTGCTATAAACATGGTGCTACAAGTATTTCTTTAAGACCCTGCTTCCAGTTCTTTTGAATATATATCCAGAAGGGAATTAATGGATCACATAGCAATTTTATTTTCAGTGTTTTGAAGAGCTGTTGCTGTGAAGAGACCACAGCATGACCAAGGCAACTCTTATAAAGGAGAACATTTAACTGGGGCTGGCTTACAGTTCAGAGGTTTAGTCCATTATCATCATGGCAGGAAGCATGGTGGCACACAGGCAGACATGGTGCTGGACAAGTAACTGAGAGGTCTACATCTAAAATGGCAGGCAGCAGGAAGAGAAAGAGACACTGGGCCTGGCTTGAACATCTGAAACCTCAAAGCCCATCCCCAGTGACACGCTTCCTCCAACAAGGCCACACCCACTCCAACAAGGTCACATCTAACAGTGCCACTCCCTATGGGCTGTGGGGGCTGTTTTCATTCAAGCCACTACAAGCTGTAATGGCATCTGTATGTTTTTCATTTTCATCAACAGTGCCCAAGAGTCTCTCTGCAAACTCCTGCCAACACTTCTTATTTTATTTCATTTTTAAAAACATAATAACCCTAGTAAATGTGAAGTAAATTCTTACTGTTTTGATAGTATTTCTTTTAGTTTCATTCACTTTCTTGCAAACAGTGTAACTTCATTCTTCTCTGAAGCTGAATGTCTTAGTTAGCATTACTATTGCTGGGATGAAACACCATGACCAAGACAACTTGGAGAGGAAAGGGTTTATTTCAGCTTAGCTTCCCCATGACAGTCCATCACTGAAGGAAGTCAGGACAGGAACTCAAACAGGCCAGGAACTTGGAGGCAGGAGCTGATGCAGAGGCCATGGAGGGGAGCTGCTTACTGACTTGCTTCCCATGGCTTGCCCAGAACCACTTACCCAAGGATGGCATCACCCACAAAATGGGCTGGGCCCTCCCCCATCAATCACTAATTAAGAAAATGCCTTGCAGCCAGATCTTATGGAGGTCTTTTCTCAATTGAAGTTCCCTCCCTTCAGATGGCTCTAGCTTGTGTCAAGTTGACCTAAGACTAGCCAGCACACTGAGGAAACACATCTGTCTGTTGATTTATGTAGGTGATCTGCTGTGGCGTCGGTGAACATGTACACACACATAGACTCACACACACACACACACACACACACACACACACACACACGACTGTTGTGGTTCATTCCTGTTTGATTCTTAGCTGACAATCAGGCATTGAGTGGATTTTGCCTGACACCCCCACCCCACTCTAGGCATTTTGTCTGGGCTTCACATCGATGTACGGCCAACAGCGTCCTTGAAGGCCCTCATGAGCCTGCCGAGAACCTGGATCCTTGTACTGTTCCTACCTCTAACACAAGCAGGGCTTCCTTTCGCCAGGCATACCACTTCCATGGGTTTTCAGCTAGTTTGTGTGCTGGAATTATCTGAGGAAGAATTTTCTTTTTTCTTTTTTACTTCCTCCTTTTTTGTTGTTGTTTGTTTTGTTTTTGTTTTTGTTTTTTGAGACAGGGTTTCTCTGTGTAGTTTTGGTGCCTGTCCTGAATCTTGCTCTGTAGACCAGGCTAGCCTTGAACTCACAGAGATCCACCTGGCTCTGCCTCCCGAGTGCTGGGATTAAAGGTGTGCACCACCACTGCCCGACCCTTCTTTTCTCTTTTCAATTTTTTTATTTTTTAAAATTAAAATGCTACGACATCATCTCCCCGATCCCTCCTCCCTCTAACACTTCTGTCTTCCCCTCGTTTGACTCTGAGGGAGAATGTTCCAAGTAGATTCCTGGACACACAAGGAAAATCACTCTTAATCAAGGACACAAGATACAGGGCAGAAAGTTCTTAAGCACTTTCTTCTTGGGGTTCTTATAACCCTTTAAAAATCCAATTACTCATCTGAAAGAGTTCACATTTATGAGGATTATTTCCTTTGACATTTATTATGTTAAGAGCTGAAACTTTCAAAATGTACTTGTTAATCCATATTAACAAATTAATTGCACATACATATAAGTAATTCAGTTTGGAAACATAAAATATGCAAAACAAAGTCGCTATAAAGACAAGATTGGCCTTGCTTCACAATTTTGCAAATCTTGTAGACGTCTGGCTGGGAGGCAGCTCCACTTTCCTGTCTGCTGTAGCTGCCAACACGCTGCAGCCAGTTATTTGAACCCAGTATAGGAAGAGAGTTTGGCTTCATATGAATTTGCAGTTGACAAAGGTAAATAAATATTTTTAGTGGCCTGCTTAGTTAATTAACTTTTTCTCCTTCAATGATAAAATGAACCTTAGTGAATGACAGCTCTTCAGATGCTGGCCGCAGGTGGAATGTTAAAATGCCAGTGTGTTGCTGGCATTTGTTACACTAAGACCCTTTCATCTTGCACCATTTTACTCAGGTGTGAATCCAAAATAGCAAATATCTGACACTTGCAAAATGGTCTGCTTATAGGCAGTCTAAATATTGACACATTTGATTATGCTATCATCACATGTCATGTGACACCTGGAACATTCCACTGTGGATTCTGTGAGAGAATGAAAATCATAAAAGCAAATCATGTCCTAGCATTGAAACGGAATTATATGTGAATCCATGGACCTGCCCACACAACAAAAGCGCCCTTTCTTGGTGAGAGACGGTCAGTGCAGCTGCAGGCTGCACTCTGCTAAGCTAAGTAGGCCCTGCAGAGACGCTGCAGTTTCTGTAGTTAGGTGGCCAACCCTTAAGTGGAAGTTTTAAACTTGAATCTGTGTTCACCTACAGGAACAAGGTTGGCACTTGAGACAGACAAAGATGTCATAAGGAACAGTCCCTCAGGTTGTCAGTCTTCTTTGACAAATAACACTCACCCATGGGACTCATCCCAGAGCCCTCGAGGGAAACCTTGCAGGGTGATATCGTCTTTCCCTGTGACCTGGCAGATACACGTTTATGTTACTGCATACTTCTAAAGCCAAATGCCATTAAAATTGGGAAAACGACAATTTCTCACACAGTAGAGCTTATTTTGAGTTTCTTCTGTTTTCTCTGTGTGTTTATCTGTTTAGGTGTTGTTGGGATCCCTAAATATATTTGATGTGGAAAAAACATTTGTGACCTCATGGGAAGCAGCAAAATCAGAAGAGCTAGAAGTGGAGTTGAGAAGGGAACTGAGAGGAGAAAGCCCTCGAGAGTCCCCTGGCCACTGTTTTACAAACAGTGAAACTTTTAGTGACATCATTTTGCCCAAAGCCTTGCAAAGCTCATCTTGCTGTAGGGCTGGGGAGGAAGAGTGAGAATCCTCACTGATCCCAAGCTTCAGGAAGCATACAGATGGCCGGCCACACTGCCTCGGCTCACTCTGCCCTGCCTCCTGTTCTGAGGTCCGAAGCTGAACAAAGGGACCTAGCTGTTCTACTTGTCAAAAGAAAACAAGTGTCAGCCTCCTGGGCAATTGTGAGGATTAATGGTGATAATCCTCAATGGAAGTGTGTGCCAGTAGCAAGAGGCCACAAGAGCCAGCTCACAGCATCTCGGAGGCTCTGGCTGCCTCCAATTTATGCCCACCTTTCCCTGTGACACGTTTTTATTCTTTTCCTCCCAGGAAAGGGCTTAGTTGGAAGCTGATGTATCATACATTTATTTATCTGTTTTTGACAAGGTCTCATGTAGACCAGGCTGACCTCAAACTCACTATATAGCTGAAGATGACTTTGAACTTCTGAACTCTGGCCTGCATCTCCCAAATGCTGAGATAATAAGCATGTGGCACCACATCTGCTACATGCAGCGTTGAGGCTGGAACCCGGGAATTCACGCATGCTAGGCAAGCGTTCTACCCAACTGAGCTAGTGATATCCCCAACTTGATTGTTGGTTTTAATGGGATGAGCTTAGTCAGACAAAGTTGGGGGGTTCAGCAGAATTCTCGGGGAGCTCCTTCTGGACACTTCCAATGACATCAATGGCATTTTCCAGCTCCTCAGAGCAGGCACCCTGGAGGGGAGGGATTGGTCTGAAATGGAATCCTTTGGCAGTGAAAGTCCCATAAAAAGAGACCCAAGTGAAATTTCTGCTATTTTTATCTTTCCAGTGACGGCTGAGCCACTTCTTGTCACTCTCTGTCCCCATGCATCATGATGTGAACAGCTACTGTCTGTAGCATGTTCCTGTCACCACAATGTTTGTGTCAAACATATGAAGCCAAGAAACCACAGAGTCCTGCTAACCCATGAGTCAATTAGATCTTTTTTTAAATTTATTTTATAATTAATTTAATTTTACATATCAGTCATGGATTCCCCTGTCCTCCCTCCTCCCACCCTCCAGCCTTCCCCCCCAGTACATCCCCATTCCCACCTCCTCCAAGGCAAGGTCTCCCCTGGGGATTCAGCTCAGCCTGGTAGATTCAGTTGAGGCAGGTCCAGTCCCCTCCTCCCTACACCCAGGCTGAGCAAAATGTCTCAGCAAAATGTCCCTAGGTTCTAAAAAGCCAGCTTATGCACTAAGAACAGGTCCCAGTCCCACTGCCTGGGGGCCTCCTAAATAGTTCAAGCCAATCAACTGTCTCACTTATCCAGAGGGCCTGATCCAGTTCCACGAGGGCTCCTCAGCTATTGGTTCATAGTTCATGTGTTTCCACCAGTTTGGCTATTTGTCCCTGTGTTTTTTCCATTCATGGTCTCAGAAAGACACAGGGATCGCCCAAGGACAGAGAAATGGATGGGATCTACATGAGCAAACTGGATGTGAGGGGGGGAGGTAATGGAGGGCAAGGGTTGGGGGAAAGAGAACTTAGGGGAGCGGGAGGTCCCAGCTGGATCAGGAACAGAGTGGGAGAACAAGGAAAGAGATACCATGATAAATGAAGACCCCATGGGAATAGGAAGAAGTAGAGTGCTAGAGAGGTTCCCAGAAATCCACAAACATGCCTCCACAATAGACTACTGGCAATGGTCGAGAGAAAGCCCAAGCTGACATACTCTAGTGATCAGATGGCCAAACACCCTAACTGTCATGATAGAACTCTCATCCATTAACTGATGGAAGCAGATGCAGAGATCCTTGGCCAAGACCCAGGTGGAGCTCCAGGAGTCCAA